ATCGAGCTTGAGATCAACGTTCCGGCTATTTGGAAAGGTCTGGGCATGAATGTATACGTAAGCGTGCCGGAGCCGCCTGGTGGTGGACGGCCACGGTTACAGCATTACCGCTGTCGACCCACGCTGCCACTTCAGCCCAGCGTTATCCGCACGACGCACTTAATCTTCCGTACGGCTTCTGTCTCCATTCTTGTCCGGTCCTGACGTCGCCACTATTATCTTCATGTCGGTGAATCTTTGTGGTGGTGGAGGAGCGCTCCGCCATGACGTCCAAGAACAGCCATGTACTCCCGGAGCGGAATCGGAAGACTGTTCGTTCCTGCGAAAAGGAAGCACGGTCCCAAGCACTCGCCATCGCGGCCGGCCGGGCCCCCAGCGTCTTTCCTTGTGCGCATTTCATTCAGCGCCCGGAGAAATCTCATCGACATGTAGCTCTCGTTCCCAGCATTCGACGTCTAACTTCCGCGGAACCCAACCTCTGTTTTGACTGGGCTTACACGGTTCCTGGCTGGTCTAGACGACCATCCCCCTTGTCCGTCTCCTTCGACCTCGGACGGTTATGTGCATGCGGCGATTGTGCTTCTGACAGGATGCTGTACCTTTCCGTGAGCGTGGATCGCAACACGTCGGTGGCGATAACGCTCGCCATCGAAGGCCGCTCTAAACACACACAGCTGTGCCATTCTTGTCAGCACCTGTACCTCATCTGATGGGAATACAACAATCCACCGCGCGAGAAAATACTGTGACCGGACGCCAGTCTACGCAACACCTTAAAGGCGTGTTGCACCCTCCACGCCCAATTTCTAGGGTGGCCCTCTCCCACTGGTGTCCTTCGTTTAACGGCTATGTCTTCCTCCACGTCTGGCCCTCCTGCGTCGACCCACTCCGATGTCCAAGAAGTCCCACTGACCCCTCCCCGCCCTTTCTTCGTGGAGCACTTGGGCTCATCCGACAACGATGAGGTCAGCGTGTCTCCACCGGCCCGGCCGCCCCGCCTCTCTGCAAGTGGTCGCCTCCGCCCCCAAGACCGTCAAGGGAGCTCAATCAGCATCGCTCCCAGTGGTATGAGTATTCCCGGAAACCCCTTCGCCACCCCCACCATCGAAGCTGCGAATCCATTCTCACCACCTGCAAGCGTCGTGAGCTTCAGCCTTGTGGATGCGGCGTCCGCCGGCTTTCGGGATCTCCACCAGCGCGCGAGCGCCCAGAGCAACCAAAGCTCCGTTGCCAACAGCGCTACTGACCTGCAGCAACGCCACTCCACCGTTCGGGAGGCGTTTACGTCGCCTCCACCCCGTCCTTTGACAGTCGTATACCCTGCTGGACACCAAGCCGCACGCATGCGCCCGTCCAAGCGCCAGCGTCCGGCTTCTACCATGCTCACAGGCCCGATTTCCAAGCCGTGGGTGGGAAAGCGCGACTCGGCCGCCAAAATATCATATATCCTCACCTACTCCGTGTTACTATTCGGTATCGCCGCATCTGCGGTGCGTTGCTACTTTGGCTGGCGGGGCGTTCCATTACTCGGTCGGCTTTGCCTCGTTCTCGAGGACAACTTCGATGGTTCCGAACTCGATTCTAGCGTCTGGATGCGCGAAGCTGATATGGGAGGTTTCGGGTATGTGCTCGAATCTACAGCAACTCCATGCGCTAATGCACCCTGTAGTAACGGCGAGTTCGAAATGGCAACCACCTCGACGAACAATTCGTTCGTCCGCGATGGGCAATTATACATTCTTCCCACGCTTACTTCCGACGTCATTGGACAAGCCGCGATCTTCGATGGACACACGTTCAATCTGACAGGCTGCACGAACACGAACCTCACTGCATGTGGCGCTGTCAGCAACAGCACGACGGGGGCGGTCATCAATCCTGTCATGAGTGCACGCATTTCTACAAAGGGGAAGCGCAGCATTCGATATGGTCGTGTCGAGGTACGCGCCAAATTGCCACGAGGGTGCGTCGATCGAGGCCTTCGGCCTTCCATTCTTGCAGGCACGTTCGAGGAACTGACTACTCTTGACATTAAAGGGATTGGGTTCGTAGACATCACGTGTCCTGCAGCGACGCCCTGGATTGAACTGTTTCCTTTTGCAGCTCTGGCCTGCCATTTGGATGCTTCCGGAGAACAACACGTACGGACCATGGCCTTTGAGTGGTAAGTCTCGAAGGCGTCATTCAAATTTTCGAGTCTGACACATATTTCGTCAGGCGAGATCGATATCATGGAGTCGCGCGGAAACAGCCCATCGTATCCCGCTCAGTGCGTGCAAGACTGCCCTGAATTCCACTGTTTCTGACAGAAGCGCCCGAATAGAGGTATTAACTACGTCCGAGGGTCACTCAACTGGGGTCCTCTGACGTGGCTGAACGCGGTGGCAAAGACCTACGGCTGGTGGCGGATGCGGCGCTCCTCTTATGGCGAAGACTTCCACGACTATGCTGTTGAATGGTCAGAAGACTTCCTGTAAGCGACCATCCCCCAAAATATATGGTGTCAGAATTTGATGTGGCGCTCTGTAGGCGCATCTACGTCGATAACCGCCTGCAACACATGCTCGATTTGCGCTTCAACATCCCCTTCTTCCAGCGCGGCGACTTCCCTGCGTCGGTCTCGAATGCGTCGCAGGAAATCATCCTCGAGAATCCCTGGAGTGGCCGTGGGAACGCAGCCCCCTTTGACCAGCGTACGCGCATCTGTTCGCATAGCCTCATTTACGACATCTGACCACTTGACAGCGTTCTACCTTATTCTAAACGTCGCCGTGGGCGGCACCAATGGATGGTTCCCGGATGGCGCTGGCGACAAGCCATGGCTGAACGGGGCGATTAGTGAGGATCGTCATCCACGCACGCGAGATAGCTACTGAAATTCTACCCCAGACGCCATGCAGCTCTTCGCTCAGTCACAAAACCAGTGGTCCAAAACGTGGCCTGAGAGCGAGGACGACCGCGCGATGAGAGTGTAAGCGACCCCTCACAATACGCTAAGCGCGCTGACACCTCACTCAGTGACTACGTGAGAATGTGGGAGCAGTGCTGAGAGCCGGTCTGTTCCTTTGGCTCCGCCATACTACGGACGTTGTGTTGCGAATGAGTGAACGGACTCCTTGTGGTACATAGACTTTTCGTTTTTGATAGGTTTCTTGGGTTCTGGGCTTTGGAAACACGCTGCTACCCGCACTCCCATTCCTTAATATATCCATTAGTCTATATTGTACATGACTACTTGCAGCAACGTCGCGGTTGTGACTTGTTCAGCCTTCCTATTGAGAGTACTTGGGGTCTACAGCCAACTCCAGGACGATAGACTTGTATTGCACGCTTAGACGATGGGTAGCGCATATCATGCACTCCATTTGGCGAAGAACCTATTCAATAATCAATTCGACGACGATGGGCACTCAATGAGCTCAATGAATTGCTCAATAGGGCTTGATTCAGTGTCAATCCGCACCACTTGGCACCACTGGCAGTGGGAATTTCCCCGCCCAACAAGCTTCAACGACGCCAGGCAATTTTCCGACGGGAAAATCTCGACCCGACTCGACTCTTCTTATTTTCGGGTCGTCGATCGGGCCCTACTAATTCGCTGATTAAGCCACGCTCCAATATGGAGACGGCCTTAAGAAGGGCGTTGATATTTCGGTCTGCATCTGAACTTCCACGCAGCGCCAGAACGTAGACCGTGAACTAGTTTCCCAAGGGAAAGAGTGACCTTGGCGGGACAATGATAAGTTGGCCGGAGAGCTGCAGTGAGACGGGCGCCGTACGAAGACCTTGCTCGCCCTTGTAGCACATGCAGCCGGTCCTGACAATTCGCCTTCCATGCAAGAACCATGCACGCCAACCCTGGCGTACCTGATAATCGCGCTTAAGACTTCGAATGTACCATGCTGGCCCCGACGTAGACGAGTGGCGCTCTTGTGGGATAGAGGGGCGCACGGTCAGGGCGGCTCCCGCGCGCGCCCCGGAGTTCGCCCAAAGCCTATCATTGCCAAACGTGTGTTGCTTTCTTGCGCACTTGGCGATAAGACCGAGTGGAGGCGCCTCCAGAGCGCGCGGGCTCGCCGAGCGGCAGGGCGTGACGTTCGGCGTGGGCACGCGGCGGCCTATGCCCGCGTGCCGGCAGCACCCCAACCACGACGCCAACACGTAGTGATTCGGGGTGGCTCAGGCAGGCGCAATCTGGTCGCGAACCCATGCGCGAGGCGCTGCGCGCCGTTCTCGCCCGGACTCGGAATGCCGCACAACGCGCGCCACGTAGGCGTCTGCGACACGACTCAATGCCATCGCGCCCAGTCCTTCCCACTGACGCGGATTTATGTGATGATGGGCAGCATAGGCTAGAACATCATGGCGCTTGGGGCGGAAGATATACCGCGGACTTAATGAGGATGGAGATCCTGCCATGGCAGCGCGTGGGGGTGTCGGACAGGCTCTGCTTTCTGTCAAAACATAGCGCACCCCTGAATTGTCGGCACTCACTTCGACGGCATGCAGTCGACAAGATTACGCATCATTGTGACTCCGAGGAAGATGCGTTCTCCCACCAGCCAAGCCTGAACATCATAGACCCTCCCAGACCCTCGCGATTGAATGCACGATTCGACGACGCCGCCTTAAAGTGGGCTGGTGATAGAAGACACCATCGTTTACGCTTCCGTCATGGCGAGACGGCACGCGGCGGCGGTGAGGGGGCTGGAGGACACGGGAACGGCGCGAAGGCGGCCGCCAGTGGTGACTGGTGAAATTTTGAAACGTGACAAGCACTGTATGGCCGTCTCAATGTCAGGCTGTACGATTTACACGCCATGATAAAGGGACGTAGACAGTGCATGATCTAGAGTTGTCACAAGCTGACGGATGCTGTATGGCGGTTGGGAGACAAGGGACCGGAGTTCCCAGATACGCGATAAGTATGGATGGCAGGTTCATGGATACCGGTGGAAGTTGCATTAGATATATGGAAATAAATAGTACACTAAAATATATTCGTTGTGGTGCAACGGTTAGCATACCTCGCTTTCACCGAGGAGGCCGGGGTTCGACTCCCCGCAACGAAGTCTTTTTTTGTCTTACCTTCATGTTGTCGTCCGGCCCAGTCACGATCGACAAAAATTTCAACGAAGGTCGAACCAGCTTTGACAACCTGAAGCCCGGCAATTCGCTGTTGGTTCGCTGGTTCAATTCTCGCTGGGCCACCAGCTTTGTTTCCGTCACGCAACTCCAGTATTAGCCACGCTGAATACTGTGCACCTTCTCTTTGGCCGGGATCGTGCGCATATACTCGGGTCGTCTTCGTTTTCGAACTCCTTCAGGAGTTGTCAGGAAGGGGCCCTTCTCGTATCCAATCAGCTGCTCGCTGATCAGTGCGACAGACTCGGAGCGATTTTTCGCGTCTGCGTTATCAAGATACTGAATATCCAACTCATGTCATCATGCCGGCCCTCGCCTTCTGTAGGCTCTCTCTTCCTACCTAGTCAGACAGCCTTTCTGACAAGTGAGGCATGCCATCCCGCCAGTGAGTAGCACCTTCCCTCACCTGCAGGGTACAACATCACCTTTTCGCTCTTCTTGGGAAGGTTATCTCCCAATCCTCGCTTGGTCTAGAGTCTTGGATGTAGGTACCGAAGGACGAGATCGTATACGCTCGCCGACGCAAACCCATGTTCCTCTTTCCTCTCCGTGCCCTAAGTGGTCGATGCGGTGCGAGGCGCAGTACACGTTATCCCAATGTGACGATCATAATCAGCCTGCCCATCGCGCCGACTATCGTCCTCCTCTCACGAACCTCGATACTTCTTCCCGGAAGAACAAGAGTACAGCACTCATAAACTGAATCATGTGCACGAATATGGTACAATCGGAGGCGGTCATAGTACTTGAGTCAAAGTTGAAGCATTGACTACGCAACGCCCATTGGAAGTCACTGGTCATGGACCATAGCATTTTCTATGCATTTACACAGTAGCATTACCTCCCTAATGCGATGCCGAGTAAGTCCTCATTTCCACGTCTGGCAGAAGCTGTACCAGCGGAGAGGTACCTCTTGTTAAGTCTCTACAGCTTGGGCGATGCTGTTCTTGTAGACGCTCTGCGGCGCGGTCCGTGTGCCATCTCGCTGTCATCTTAGATGAGAAATTAGCCATAGGCAAAGCTGGCGTGCCATGTGACTTCGTCTCCAAGCCTGGCTCATCGTTGACTGAGATGGAGGACCATTGAGCACTACCTTCCTGTCTTAGTTGGCTTCGTTTGGCACGTACGAAGAGCTCGAGTCTTAAGGAGACGACCATAGCTCTCAGGTAACGCTGGAAGAACACAACGGTCAATGACATACCCAGGTTCGGGCCCGAGACTCGCACGATTGTTAGGCTGGAAGCGTCAAACACCAGTTCAAAGAAGACGTGCGTCAATACCAAATCTCACATATGGCGGTATGCTCGCAGAGATCAGCGCCCCCGGCCCTCATGCCGGAGCTCAGCTCTGTCAGCCTTTAGCTTCGTTCCGCATTCGCCGGACCCTTTCTAGAGATCATTAGTCGTGCCTCTGGGAACTCGTAGGGCTTAAAGACAGACGACTTACCGAACTGCGGCGCCAATATTTTCCAAAGATATGGTGAATACTACCCCACCAACTGGCGTCTAGGAATGCCAGGTTATTGTCAATCCTGAGCGCCAGTGACTAGTGACCTGTCGATACCACTAGTCACCGGTCACCACGCACATTTATGGCAGTCGGATCCGCGACATCAAGGGCTGACGTGGGTCAGGATTTTGGCCAGTGTACCTTGACCTTGAGACTGGCTTGACCATGCCATTGGATAGTCCCGTGTCAGGCCATCCTTTAATGCAAGAACCCACTGATTAACGTTGTCGGTGACCAATGTTACGATCCAAAGTGGGAACAGGCACAGGACGCTGGCGCCACGATGCCATCGAAGAGTCCGAGGTCTGGAACGGACCTTATGCGCGGACCAGCGAAGCTACGTCATACGCCTCCTGCGCCACTTCGGTTACCGTCATCTGCCAATCGGAAGGTCGCAGAGCAAAGCCTGATCTGGAACGTCGTCAGAAGTCTCGAGGGTATATAACCTGGCGCTACGTAACGAAATGGTAAAATGTGTGGCCTTCTACCATTCGTCTTGTGCGCGTACGCGAGCTAATTTCCTGCGACTTTGGAGGTTTAGACCTCTTCGAATATTGAAGATGCTCCAGGAGGATGTTCCCGGTAGCCGGCAGCCCGAGACACCGCCCCCACGTCTACTGGCCCATATATATAGTATTGGAAGCTCAAGCAAGGTCGCACTGTATTTGGAAGAAGGTAAGTAGACGGTCCCGATACTCGCCATCACGAGCATGATCTCGTAGTGCCGTCGACGCTCATTGAAGACACGGTCTGATAGAGAGTCAGGTACATGAAGTACCTTCGCACGGTCGTGGTCGCATATCGGGGGCAGGGTAACCGTGGCAAGCGACGCGGGTTAGCCGGATAGTCATAAGGCAGTCTTAGAGGGGTTTAGGAGGTGTGTGCCTCGGAGTTGGGTGCTGAACGCTGGCTGATTGTGAGACAGCTCCGCGAGAAGCCTGGCCCGCACAAAAAACCGCTGCGCGTGCTGGCGACTCGACCGAAGCCGCCGAGCGACTCGTCCCTCGCACGTGATCGCGTCCACTGGCCTTGCGGCTCCTTGCGGGGTACGTAAATTTGTGAGGCCTGTGTGGTTTTATTATCTAGTTAGTTCAATGTTCTGACTTTGCCTCGTTGTGTCCATGCCTGATTTCTTGTAATATTCGTTTCGGACCAGTGGAAACCCTTCAAAGCCCCTCCCCATCCTTCTCCCACAGCAGCTCCGTCCTCATCCTCTTCTCCCTCAACCATGACCAGGTCTCAGAGAGGCGATCCGCCCCCATTCGAATCTCTTCCCGACAACAGGTTCAGCCGACAAATACATCCGCTGTGGCATGATGCATATGCGCGATGTACCAAGCTGTTCTTCTGGGCAGTGGGCCGTCAGCAGCCACCCGGAACTGCATCGTATGATATGTGTTCCAGGGTGCTTGGCCACCTCATCCTGGAAGCACCAACTGACGCAGGGAGGGACTGGGTATGCAAGAAGGTGCTCAATTGCACAGACGAGCCTTCGCTGGCGCGCCTGGCCCAGAAGTACATTTTCACGTTCGTGGGGTCTTGTGCGTCATCCGCATCATTTGGGCCGCTTCGTCGGCTCTGAAAGTGGCTTCAAGTCAAGGCCTCTGCAGGACGCTCACAATCGAGCACGAGGGCATCGTCTATTTCCACTCCCTATGAGGGAGCTTCCGGTTTGGCACATGGGGACAGGCGGGCGCAGGTGCGTTGGTTCCAACGTTTTGCTCATGCTATTGACCCCACATATCGAACCAGGCACTCTTGAGAGACACATACAGGTGTGCGGTCACAGGAACATTTGACGCGGCTTCTGCGCGAGATCCGACGGTGGCCGCGGACGGTTATGCCACTTCCCCCGGCGCTCCCATCGCTACCACAGAAGCTGCACTCGTAATTCCGCCTTCGGTCGACATGCGAATCCTCGCCCGCTACGCCGGACTCGCCGGCGACGACCCCCTGTGCCCACCACACTCAGACTTCCACCGATTGGAGAATATCCTCACTCTAGACCGCGCCGCGGCGCATCGATTCAGCAGTCTGGACCTCTGGCTTGAAGCCACGGTGGGTGTGGGTTCGTTTCCAAGTAAATGCAATCACTCAGCGCTCAGCAGGGTCGCGCTGATGAATATCAAATCGTTACATGGCACCCGGACATTCTGTCCCCGTCACGCCGACGAGCCGCTGTGGCATTCACCACCACGGACCCCATCACACGACCCATCCCGTCTGCGGAGTATCTCCATCTACATGCCGCATGCGCGCGCATGGCTCACAAATCAGGCGCCGCGACATACCTTGACGTCTTGGCAAAGGACATTGCCCTGCTGGCTGTCCTCGCAGAGGACGGCTCGTCGGCTGGTGTGCTTGCTGCAGCTCTGTCGCGAATAGCGTAGTGATGGAAGGCCGTGGCACGAGGACTTCTCCTGATTGACGGGGATCGTGGTTGTATTCGTGGGCTTCGTTCTTGGATCCATACTGGTATCGTTTGTTTCGCTTACTTACCCTTTACCCTGATAATATGATGACCATCGTTACTATTTTCCAACGTGCGCGAGCAGCAGCCCGCTCCAAGACCGAAAATAGGACACGTTGAACCATCGTGTCCCGCGAGGCGGAGCGATGAAGAGGAAGAGGTATGCACGAATCGCGATGACCACGGCCGATGAGCTCATCATGAACCCGGCTAGCCTCCCACCAGGTGGAAACTTCACGCGGAAGTTCCCGTCGGTCCAATACAAGCGGTATTATGAAAACCTGCTTTCGACAGACTATTTACCGCTGACAGTTGGAGCAAGGCAGCGCTCGACGCCTCGAAAGGCTCCTGAAGGCATAGATCAAGCCGAGTCTACTGGCACGTTCTGCCCAACGCAGAATGACTCTTGCTGATCGTAAGGAGAAGGAGTTCCAGTTCCGCAAGGACTTCCTTCTTGGGGGCTCCATGACATCAGGAGTTCCCTCAAGATCACCAGGAACGATGATAAGGGATCAGTGTTACGTGAAGGCGCATGGTCGAAGACGTTGTTTGGACCCATTTCTCGCGAGCGCGTTCGTCGGATGCTCGATATTAGCGTAAGCGTAGTCACGTTCTTTGATGAAGACGTCCATACTACTTAATTCCATGGCCTATCAGAGCATGCAAGTACTCCGTCGGGAGTGACGACCAATCACCTTATTGGTTCATAACAGCCCTCTTGCATGTTCGTAACAGGGCTGAGCGCATGGACGTCATAAGGCTAGGCGGTTCATGGAGACAGCAGTGCTGCCAGGAGAAGCTGACGAGAGAGGCTTGATGCGGGCGACAAAGGACCGCGAGCAAGTGAGGAACACGCAGAGGATAAATCCATAACCAGTGACTCCTATGAGGACGCGTAAGGCTGTCCGCACCACCGTGGGCGGAGGAGGATGATCTCAGTCGTGAAGC